CTGTCACTTTAAATTGGAGTAATCAAATAATACACTAGCATTAATTTTTGCATTTACTTAATAGTCCTGGGGGAGAGGGGCATTGTGCAAGAAGGGGATATGGAAGACAATGGGGAAGTGAGGTCAGAAAAAACCACTTTAGCAGCCTGGCTTTAGCGAGATCCCATCTGAGCTTTCTACATCATTTTACCTCTGCTAATCTAGCACCCCATCTTTTGGAAAGTTTGGATCCACTTCTGAACTTGGAAGCTTGGATCCATCTTTTATAAAATAACGTAGTGAGTGAAAGTTATTTGCTAACACACTCAGACTAATGGCTATACAATGATAAATGAAAAAGAGATGCACCAAATCTACACTCAGAAACTGGCTTGTTCCACAAAAAGTGAGAAACTATTTCAGAACATCAAGATATCAATCAGTGTGTTTCAGAAATATTCTCTGACTTCTCATTAATGAAATTAAACATATTTTTTTAAACACAAACAAGCAAATGGCACTGATAAGACACAGAAATTCACTTTGGAGTATACAGGTTAGCTAAGAGTAACTTCAAAGACGCAGCTCACACCATTTAGGACTGTTCTGAATTGTCTATTTTAATATACCATTAAGTTAGATTCCAACACAGCAAAGCACATTTTTCAATTTAAACATGAATTGTCCTTTTGAATACAGTGGCACAGAAGGACAACTAACTTGTGTAAGTGCTTTGCTGAATCAGGACCTTAGTTTACTCTAAAACCTAGAGTAGTTAGAAAAACAGCTAAGCCTAAAGCTCTTGATCCTGCAAGATATTGAGCTCTCTGGCCCCGATCCCAGAGTTAAGAACATTGACTTCTATGCCATCCACTTCAATGGGATTATTCACTGGCTTAAATTCAGCAGAGATCTTAAGTGTGTGGCCTGTCCCTGTTCAGCAAAGCATGTCAGCACATGCAGTCAGTGAGACTTTAGCACGTGCTTATACACTTTTTTGAAGAGGGAGGCACATCACAGCCTAGGTGCTTTGCTGGTTTGGGGCCACATTGCTTAGCAGCTCGCTCAATTAGGACTGAACCTTGACAGCTTAGTCATTACTTCAGTCTCATCCACAGGCTTCTCCACAGCTTCTATACAATTGGCTGTAAAGGTAAAGTGAGTGGCTGAGTTCCCGCACATTCCACTAATATTTAACCCTACACTGGTGTTGGTTAAGCTTTCTTTCATGCAGAACTAACAGAACACGGAAATACACTAGAAATAATTCACACGCCAAACTGATTTAATTCTCAAGGATTCTCAAAATTGTTGCAATAAAACCTTTAAATATATACTTTGTCATTAGGCATACATTTTCTAGTTAATAAAGGATCAACTGCATTGTCCACAGTTAGATGCCTGATTTATCGTCACTACATATGGCACATGGCTGGTAAACATGTTACAAACTTTAAGCTTAAGGAGAGAGAAAAGTGGAATTTTCAAATGAAGAAGTTTCACAGAAATCAGATATTATTTCAAACACTGAATTTTTCCTGCAAACTTTTTTTTTAAAGACTTCCTTTTTAAGTTTTTTTTTTAAATAAACATGGAAACTTTACATACAATATTTAAACCTGTTTTTTTCCTGCAAACAACAAACAAACAAGTTTGTGGGTCCATTTTTCATGTCTTGTATTGGCCCTGAGTAACTTTTGATTATCATCTTAGTCACAACAGTGTTTTTTTCCCCAAAATTGTAATGTTCTGTTTCTGAAATATTCCCATTTCAGAACAGAAATCCAATTTAGAACATAATTCAATGGGAAATTCAGAAAAGGATACCTGGAACATTACAAAACA